TCCTCCTCGTCCTCCTCCTCCTCCTCATCCTTCCCCCCCCCTCCTCCTTCATATCCTCCTCTTCCTCCTCCTCCTCCTCCTCCTCCTCCTCCTCCTCCTCCTCCTCAGCCTCCTCCTCCTCCTCCTCCTCCTCCTCCTCCTCCTCCTCCTCCTCCTCCCCCTCCTCCCTCCTTTCTTCTCCCACCCCACCTCCTTTCCCTTCCCCTTCCCCTATCCTCTCTCCCTATCGCCCTTCTCTTACTCCTCCTCCTCCTCCTCCATCCTTTCCTTATCCGCGTTCTTCTCCTCCTCCTCCTCCATCCTCCTTCTTATCCTCATCCTCCGACTTCTCCTCATCCTCCTCCCTCTCCATCCTTATCCCCCTCCTCCTCCTCCTCCTCCTCTTCCTCCAACCCCCCATCCACCAATTCCGACAGCACGTGCCCAACCCCCCAACCCCCCTCCTAGGCGGATCCAAGGGGGGGGGCGACTACTGCCCCGTCCAGAGTAAGGGGGATTGTGAGGAGGCAGGCACCTTCTCAGAAGCGCCCGGAGCTTCTGTAGCAGAACAAACAATGAAGGGGCCCCAGGACACACATCTTATTCCACACAGATAAACAGATTCCCCATGTTTTCCTATATGCTCTGGGTTTCTGTCCCCCCCCCCCCACTTCCCATCTTTTCCCATGTTTTCTGAGGAATCGAGGATTACTTGTGTCTGTTTTTTTTTCCTCTCCTGAAGCAATGACATCAGCATAACCCCTCGGAGGTCCGCGCGGACTTCTCGGATCTGCGCCGGGCCCATGTTCCTGGCGCGCGGACCGCGCCAAGGAGCTTCTGCTCTGGTCCCCCCTCCTACTCTCGACGATCCCGCGCGGAGCTCCGAAGATGTCTGTTTATGCCGCGTCTTGCCCCTCGAATCGAGCCCCGCCTGCGCTGAACCCCGTTGCCTGTCGGCTGATTATCCTCCTCCTTCCCTCCCTCCCGCCGCGTCGGAATCGCAGCGCATCGGCCGCGCGCAGACTCCCATCGTCGACGTGCCCGCGGCGGGCCGCACTGCACCGTCGGCATCGCGGGAGGAGCGGGCCGAGCCAGCCGGGAGCGGCGCCGAGGCCGCTCGAGGCAGGCCTCCGCGGCGCTCCTCGTGTTGAAGTAGTAGATCTCGCTGCTCTTCCGGGACTTGACCCGTATCCAGTCGGCGGGCAGCCGGTGCATGCCCGCGAACTGGGACTGGTCGTCCTGCACGCGCCGCGCCACGACCCCGCCGCTCCTCGTCGCCGCTCCCCGCGGTATCCCGTTTTTTCTTTGCCCTCGTCCCTCGCTCGCTTCCTCCTCCCCCCCTCCTCGCGCCTCGTTCCTCTCTCCTCTGCTCCTCTCGCGCCTTCCTCCCTCCTTTCCCCCCGCCACCTCTTCTTCTCCCCCCCTCCCTTTTTCTGATCTGGCCTCCTGCTCGTACCTCCTCCTCCTTCCCTCCTCCTCTCCTCCTCCCATCCTCCTCCTCCTCCTCTCCTCTCCTCCTCCTCCTCCTCCTCCTCCTCCTCCTCTCCTCCTCCTATCCCTCCTCCTCCTCCTCCTCCTCCTCCCTCCTCCTCCTCCTCCTCCCCCTCTCCTCCTCCTCCTCCTCCTCCTCCTCCTCCTCCTCCTCCTCCTCCTCCTCCTCCTCTAGGTCCTAGCCCTGGCGCGTCCCAGTCTACGGCCGCCACCCCAGCCGGAACGGCGCCGCTGCACGCCCCGCGGGCCCGCGCGCGCCGCGCCCGGACACCGCGCGCGCCATGGTGGAGGTCGTTTCCGGCGGAGGGGGAGGAGGAGGAGGAGGAGGAGGAGGAGGAGGAGGAGGAGGAGGAGGAGGAGGAGGAGGAGGAGGAGGAGGAGGAGGAGGGCGACGAGGAGGAGGAGGAGGAGGAGGAGGAGGAGGAGGCGGAGGGGGAGGCCGAGGACCAACTCTCTCTCTCTCTCACATCCGAGGGAGGAGCATGGTAGAGTGGGAGGATCGAGGGGGGCGGGCCCCCTGTCAGTGGACCTCGCCGCAATTGCCGTCGTAGGCGTCCACGGTGGTGCCGCTGCTATTGACTGCGCGCCCCATGGTGCATCATATGCGCGGTGGACACGCGGCAAGCACGGGTCGACTAGTTTTGGTCGGTCAGTGGGGCGTAGGTTTCCAAGTCGTACAAGTAGCAATTCCCGAAGCTGTCGTAGGCGTACTAGTAGCCTCTTCGGCTGGTGTTGAATTTCCGAAATGTCCGGGATTCTTGCAATAGCCGCGCATGTTTTCGCCTCCGTCGCTGCAACGCGTTCTCCGGCTCTTAACTTCTCCTTGTCGTAGTATTATGCATCGTGGCTGCCGCTGAAATCCGCCGACCCTGTCGGCGTGTGCGAGGGGTGCGAGGGGCTTGACTGTTCGAGTCGTCGTCTCCGTCGGTCGTCGCCTCCGTCGTCCCCTTTCCCTGCAGTTTCCTTCTCAAGCTCGTGAGCGAGAGAAAAATCTAGCAATGTCGTAATCGAGTCGAAGGGGGGCCCCTCCCCTTCGATCCCTTCCCCAGGGGGGGGGTCCCGGGAGGGGTGTGGGAGGGGGGTCCCGGGGGGGTCCTGGGGGGGGGGCCCGGGGGGTGGAGGGGCAGATTCGTTTTTCCTCGGGCGGCCTAGAAACTTCGAACACACTCCAAATGAGGTCCGGATGCCCAAGATGGCCCCCGAGACGGCCCAAGAGGGCCCCGAGTCGCCCAAAGATCTGCCGCGAACGCCCAAGACAGCCCCAAGACCGTCCAAGAAGCCTCCAAGACGTCCCAGGCACCCTCGAAGAGACCCCCAGGAAGCCCCAAGAGGCCCCCACGAAGCTTCCAAGCGGCCCCTAAGACCTTCCCAAGAGGCCCACAAACTACCCCCAAGAGGCCCCCAAGAGCGCTCGTCGTCGTCGTCGTCGTCGCCATTCAGGGTCGGCGGCACCGGCCGTAAGGCCTCCGCAATATCGGAAATTGCCCTTGCCTTTGCAAGGTGCCGTGTCTTTTGATGGCTGCGAGTAGTCTCCGGGGTCGCCTTGCGATGAGTTGCTTGTTCCCTGTAAGTAAGCGCCTCTCTCTTTGCCAGTCGGCTTCAGGTAACCTGGGAAGTGGGTTGTCGGATGTCGTCGTTCGGGTAAGCTTCGTCCTCCTCATCGTCGATCTCGTCAGCCACCTCGTCTCTGCTCTCGTTCTCCTCGTCGCTCTCGTCGCACTCGCAAGCCCCGTCCTCTTCGTCGCTCTCGCCGGGGGCTGCCTGCAAAGGACCTCCTGGACTCGGCAGCAGTGCTGGGCCCCTGTTGCGCGCCCTGAGCAGCTTGTCCACGCTGTCCACAACGTATTCGCACGCGTGGATGTGAAGGGGCGCGGAGACACACACACACATAAATACACACAAACGAAGCGATTCCCCATCTTTCCCATATTTTCTGGGCTTCTGTCTTCCCCCCCGCTTCCCATGTTTTTCCTACCTTTTCTTGGGGATCGACGGTTCATTGTGTCTGTGTGTTCCCTACTTAGGTTCTGCCTAGAAGGGTTCTTACTCGGTAGCTTAAAGGGCCGGGCGGTGGAACGCGCCCCGGGCGGTTCCCCCGGCATCCGCCCCGCGGTTCCCCCAGTGGCGTTCCCTTAGCTTCGCGTTGCTTATCCCATCTTAGTTTATCTTATTTCATCTTAGTTCAGCTTCATCTTAGCTTAGCTTCGCTTCATACAGATGTTAGATGTTGCTTTCCTGGACCCTCCAACTCCCAGGTAGGGTCGCACTGGGATATTGCTTCCTTCCCCCTCCTGAGGATGGGCCACTGCGCCCCATGGGGCCGGGCGCACCGCCCCACGCCTCTGCGCCGTCGACCTCTGCCGCGGCGCCGGGCACGCCCTCCAGCACGAGCGCACCCCGTCCGCGACTGGCGCCCTGAGGTCGTCGACGGCCCGCTCCCAGACCCCCTCGCGTCGAGAAAAAATCACGACGGGAGGTTTTTCGCTATTTTCGGCCTCCGGGGGCCCTTCCCGGGCCTCGGGGCCGTCAAAAAACGGCCCGGGATGGAAAACTGGCCCTGGGGAGAGGGCCCCGACCTCTGGGGGTCGACTTTGTGGAAAAAATCACGACGTGCTTGTGGGCGAAGACGTGGGCCTCCTCAGGGGAACAAAGAGTGGCATAAACATAACAAGGGGATCACGACGGGACGCCGTTCGGGAACGCCCCGCTTGCCTCCAGGGTGCCCTGGGTTTCCTCGGCTTCGATGGTTCTGCCATGGAGAGCGTGGCGTTCCCACATCAAAGATCCAGGAACGTTCTCAAGGGAACAACAAGTGGCATGAACATAACAACTCGGAGGTCCGCGCGGATTTCACGGATCGGCGCTGGACCCCCTTCCCTGGCGCGCGGAGCGCGCCAGGGGCGGCGCCGGTGGCGCCGCCGGGGGGCCCCGGCGCCGATCCGAGAAATCCGCGCGGACCTCCGAGTTTTTATGTTTATGCCACTTTTTGTTCCCCTACTCCTGGCTCGGCCGCCTCCCCTGCGCCTCGCCAACGGCGGCGCTGCAGCAGCAAGTGCCACTCCCGTCGGGGTCGACCGCGCTCCGCCAGCCGTCGGGCAAGGGCTCCTGGCTCGGCCGCCCCCGCTGTCTCGCTAGTGGTGGTGGGAGTTGCCGCTGGCGGGGTCGATCGCGCTCCGCCAGCCACCAGCTGGTAGGTCTCGTAGGCCCTCGGAGCTCTGCGTCTTGCCTTCGTAGCTCGGCCGGCGTCACTCGTAGCTCAAACGCCTGCTTTCGAGGCTCTGCCGGGTGTTTTCGCACCAAGCTCTGCTCACTGCCCTCGTGGCTCAAGTGGTGCCATCGAGGCTCTGCTTCTTGCCAGGGAGGGCCTCTGCTGGTGGCCGTCGCACCTGTGCTGGCGGCTCTCGAAGCCCCGCTCCCTTCCGCCGTAGCCCTGCCGATGGCCCTCCTGGCTCAGCTGGTGGCCCTCGAAGCTCCGCCGGTGGCCCTCGCAGCTTCCCCGGTGGTTCTCGGAGCTCGGCCTCCTGCCGTCGCGGCTCAGCCAGTGGCCCTCGCAGCTCAGCTGCCTGCTCTCGCAGCTCTGATGGGTGCACTCGTAGCCGTCCGTGCCGGTGGCCCGCACGGCTCAGGCGGCTGCCCTCGAAGCTCTGCCTCTTGCCGGGGCAGCGCTGCTGGTGGCCCTCGTGGCTCTTTGGGTGGCTCTTGAGGCGCTGGTTCCTGCCGTCGTGGCTCTGCCTGTGGCCCAGGTGGCTCTGCAGGTAGCTCTCCAAGCTCTGCTTCCTGCCGCTGTGTCGGAGGTTCTCGGAACTCTGCTTCTTGCAGTCGTAGCTCTGCTTGAGGCCCGTGGAGGCCAGTGCAGGCCCGGTAGGCGTCCAGGCCGTCGTAGCTCGAATGGCCGTTGTAGCAGTTGCAGTCGTCCAGGCCGTCGTAACGAAGATTGCCGTCGTGGACCTGCACGTTGTTTTAGTCGCCAGTGCCCAGCGCCCGAACGATGATGCACTTGCATGTGTGCTGCCTGTTACGCAGCTCCTCGTCGCACGAGTCGCAGTCGTAGGCTTCTGTCCGGCGTGTCCCCCTTCAGGGGGATACTCGAGAAAAAATAAGAAATACCCTCAAAATAATCAAAACATAATCAAAAAAAAACCTGGGGATTATCTTTTGAGTGTTTTTTGTTTACCATTTTGGGGTATTTTTGGTTTATTTTTTGCCGAAAATCCCCTCTGCAGGCGGACAGGCCCGACTTCATCGTAGGCGCTCGTGGCCTCGTGCAGCACCGCCGTCACGCTGGTGAGCGGGCAGCTCTGTGCGCCGAATCCTCGAGCGCGACGCATCGCCGGCGCCGCGCGGCGCGGCGGGCCGCAGAGGGGCCCACCACAGCGAGGTCTTTAAGTCGGGCGTGTCCCCCTACAGGGAGATTTTGTGCGGTCAATTAAAGATACCCCAAAAATACCCCCAAATGGTCAACAAATACTAAAAAAAAAATCCCCAGATTATTTTTTTTGTTGCATATTTTGGGAGCATTTTTTTTGGCTCGTCGAAAAATACTTTTTGTTTTGTTTTGTGTCCTCCTTTTTTATAATTGTTTTATGTAAAGAACAACAAAAAAATCCCCGGCTATTTTTTGGCCCGTCGAAAATCCCCCTGTAGGGGGACAGGCCCGACTTAACGATGTCTGCCTCGCGCCTCGTGGCGGGCCGCCCCTCGTGCCCGGGCGGCCCCCTCCGCGGGGGCCCGCCAGCCGCCAGGGCTCC